AAACAGTCAAATTCTCAAAAGAAACTATGCAGGACAGAAGGGCTTGGCAAAAAACATTCGACGGGATGAAGACCCAGGATATACAACCAAGAATAATTTATCCAGCAAAGCTATCTTTAGAGTTGAAGGACAGATAAAGAGCTTCCCAGACAAAAATAAGCTAAAGGAATTTATCATCACCAACCCAGAATTACAGGAAATGTTGGAGGGACTTCTTTAAGAAGAAAAAACATGTATCAAAAACAGGAATAAAGAACAGTAACAACTACATTCCTATCAATAAGTACCTTAAAGGGAAAAGAATTAAGTGCTCCAACCAAGGGATGGAGTTGCTAATAGGATAAGAAAACAAGACCCCTACATATGAAAAGGAAGGAAATGGAAAAAGATATTGCTGTGATAAACCTAGAAAGTATTTAAGTCAGAGAATGATAAACACTATGATTTCACTTATATGCGGAATTTAAGGAATAAAAAGAACAAACTAATAAAAAACAGACTCACAAACATAGTGGACAAATTGGTGATGGACAGAGGGGAGGGGAGTCTGGGGGGCTGGGAGAATGGGGTGAAGGGTTAAAGAAGTACAAATTAGTAGTTGATGGATGGGAAGCACAGCATCAAGAATGCAATTAGCATTAATATATTGACTAGGTGGAGGGTCAGGGGAGGGAGGGAGCAATTGGGAGGATCATTTTATGAACTATATAGATGTCTAACCAATGTACTGTATACTTGAAACTAATTTAAATAAATAAATTTTTTAAAAACCTTCTATTAAAAAAAATAAAAAATAAAAAACTCTTCTATGGTTTCCCAGTATCCTCAGGAAAAAGTACAAAGCACAAACTCCTCAGGATGAATTTCAAGGCTCTGGAAAACCTCTCCACAGGGCACCTGTGCAATCTTATCTCACTTTACCTGGTCTCTGTAAGCTGAGGAATCATCACTCTCTGAAGTATCCTGCTCAGCTCTAACTCTATTCTCATAGTGGCACCCCATCTGAATGTATTTCCTCTTCTTGTGAAATCCTAGCTACAGTTCAAAATTGTACTTACCTCAATTTCACCTCTTCTTTGAAGTCTTCTGCCTCAGTCTAGCAACTCTCTTTATTCAAGAAACATTTTTAAAGTCTCCTATAGACAAGGCACAATAGCAATACTGATAACATGACTATTCCTGACTCTCTAGCAGCACTATTTACTGAGCACTTCGAATGTGCCTGGATGCAGTACTAAACACTTTGTATCTACTACCCAATTTGACCTTTACAAAATATCCATGAGGTACTAGAGTATTATTTCACTGAAGAGGAAAATGAGGCTCACAGAAGTTAGATAACTTTCCTGGTGTCACAGAGTAATGGGGCTGCCACCTTTCATTGTGCAAGCTGTGAACTGCACAAGTTGTGTGGTTACCCATAGACAGGCTGGTGGGTGAAAACCCAAGATAGTCTGATTCCCAAGACTGTGTGTTCTTAACTATTACACTGTATTGCCTCTCCATGGGTCCAACTGGCAATCTGAATTCTAGTCGCTAACACAACCATATTTTTCAAAGCTGCAAAATGTGATGCACTATAGCAAGACAGAAAATTAGAAATTAAGAATTCTGAAAAAGCCTGGAGTAATAGATGTTATGCCTATATCACTTACTAATAAAATTATTTTTTTTGAGGCTCTTATGTTTCCAGAATACATATCTAATTTTCCAGAAAGTAGAGCTCGTTAGGAACAAAATATCTCTATAAAAACCTGCTGAGCTAAACACATACTAGACAATGCTAAAGACAACACTAAAAACCAGAATAGTTGGTCTTCTTTCCTTTCTTGACTTTTCCTAAGTTAAATGACAAGACTCTATATCTCTCTGCTACTTTCTTTCTTTCTTCTCCTAAAGGCATCCACATTCACATGTCATTCCCTTGGTCTAGCTTCCAGTTCCTACCTTCAAACCTTCCTTCATTTGAGTTAGCCTGACTTTCAATGTTTTTTAATGTACTTTCTCTAGTAAAAGATGGCCCAGTTAACTCTTGATCCTTTTATACCAAATTATTAATACCTCTTTTAGCATCCCATACTTGGTCTGCCCTATAATTATAAATATTGTGTGCTCAGTGTTTTTTGGTTCTGCAATAAAATTGTAAAATAGTGATCCCATTTTCAGGATGTCAGGTAATATTGTACAGAAAAATTTAACAACCTTCATAAAAATACAACGTTTAAAGGTATGATTCATATATATCTATTGTTTGGCTTACTTGGAAGCACTTACATTATTATTGTGAAGATATTCAATTGCTCGAAGTATCTGGAAGAGGTATTTTCTAAGTCGTTTACTCTCTAGTCCATGACAATAATGTTGTAACTCATCTAGTACTGTGTGGTCAATAAATTCAAACACCAAATGAATTTTCTTTTTCTGTCTAAAAACTTCAATCAGATTGACCAGGTTTTCATGACGAAATTGCTATCGACAGAAGAAACAGATTTTTAATAAATTACTTCATGCACAAAAATTTGTACATATAACACCTATGTCATTTTAAAAAGCAGAAATGTTCTCAGGTTCTTCTCCTCCGTGAATTTCAACAGAAATTTTTCAACTAATTTGCTTACATTCCTATTTTAAGAAAATGTTAATCTACTTCATAATTAATATTTATAGAACAAAGGGAAATGCATTGCTTTACTTCAAGCTAGCATTTGATTGCTTATTAAAATAATTTAGAGTTAATGTCCTTTAATGCAAGTTAGTATGCTGCTAAGAGATGTCTTCTGATATTTTAACTTACTTTGTGGTTAAATTTAACATCTGAAATTTAAAAGGTCCTTATGTTTTCAAATGAGCAAGGATTTCAATGTCATGACTATGTGATCTGAATTTACAGAAATTAATTATTCTCAGAGTTTAATCCTAAACTCTTGAAAGTAAAACCTAAGTTCCAGGTAGACATTATAAAATCATCACACTGTAACAAGAGTATCAAATATTTAGAAACTTTTCAGATATATGAAATACCAATTTATAGCCATAGAAACTTTACATAAATATACAATTATTTGTGGGTATATTTTTGTTCTATTAAGCATTATACTATTATATCCTACTAGAATAGAATATTCTACTATTCTATTAAACAAGACATCTTTTTAGACTGGTAACAATAACTTAATTTCAAAATGTCAAAAATGGCATGAATCATCTTAGAAAACAAATGAGGTTTAATATTTTATGCTGCTTATTCTATTTTTTAATACACTGACTTAATTAAAATTAATTCTCAAATATTTAATTTTTCCAAATTACCAAAAATATTTATTCATTTGGCTAAAAATTAAGGAGTATGTTTTCAACACTGGATTCATTAGAAAACTATAAGAACAACTTGCTTTTTTTCCAATGGCACAATTATCAATTTTTCTACTTGTCTATATTAATACATAAGCCAGTACTTAAAACATTACTAATAGAAAAACATGCCAAAATTTAAGGCCAGATTCCTTTCCTATTTTTGTTTGCAATTTCCCTGATTGGCAAGATGCAGAGTGCTGCAGCGACAACATGCTGGCAGATGAAAAGAACTGATTTTGGAAACTACACTATTAATCTCTCAATAAGGAAAATTCTGGTCCAGTCTTTATTTTAGAGGCAAAAGCACTGAAGAGTTAATGTGAGTTAATAAACATTAAGGAAGATCCATCCAAAGGATCAGATTTCTCCTCAGATAAACTATGAAACCCCTAGAAATGTTCTATTCCTCCTTTTCAAGTTGTTTGCTTTTGTTTTCCTTCATAACCGAACAACTATCTACAGGTATTCTCACTAATTGCTCGAACTGTAATTTATTTAACAAAATTCTAGCAGATAAAAATTTAGTTTACATTAGATCACTATGACCATCTTTTTACACTAAGAATGTTAACTAATCCAAGAAATGTCTTGTGGAATTAAACTAAACATCCTATAAGAAATTAACCAATATGAATAGTTAAGGTGTCTCAAAATAGTTTGCATAGTAATTGTAATAGTAAAGTATATTTTCAAATTCATCTCTGTTCTTGCCACATATTGGTTTTTACAAATTGTTTAAGTAGAAAAAAATAATTGGCTTAAATGCAACAGAGTTGAAGAAAGAGCAAAAGATATTGCTTGGGATAAGGTTTCTAATTAGATTTTCACTTACAGTACACAACAGTTGCCTTACTGTATTATGTTTTAGGTCATCAGGATAAGGACTGGTATCTTTCACAAAATTATCTTTACTGACTTTAACTTTCCTTTTCATTGTCTAGAAATAGAGTAGTTCCAACAATCCACAAATGCCTAATATATTTCTCCTATTAGAAAGCAAATTGGTCCATCATATCTAATATATCTTCAGAAAGAATATTACTTTGTATCAGATAAAAATGAATGAGTATGTTTTCTTCACATAAAACATCTAGACTATGTTGTCAGTCATAAATCTTAAAGCATCTGGATAAATTTCAATATATAAAATACATATATATTTAAACATTTTTAAAATTACTAGTTTTGTACCCAGTCACCTAGGAATGTTAGTGCTCCTTTCTTCATACTCCTGAGTTCTTTGCCCTGTGTTGACTTGTCATACTTACAGAAAATTCTATCTTCTGCCCTGATCTCTCCTGGTATTGTTTCCCATTTCTATAAGCCTACTGGTCATCTTTACTTAAATGTACTCCTGTTACCTCAAAGTCAACATTTCTAAAACAGAACTAGTTCCCAAGCCATGTCTCTTTTGGGCCTTTCATATTTCCATCAATGATAGCACTACACAACCTCAAGGATATTTTTGACTTCTCCCCTTCTACTTCTTTCTACATTCTTTCATGTCTTCTTTTGCAATATATTATATTCCAACTTTATCTGCTATTCAAATTTCTGCTTTCCAGCAAGGGCCCTCACATTTACCAGTATTCCTGCATTAAAATCCTAACAGGCCTCCTTATTTTTATTATCTCAGTAATAAAAGTAATCTACTCCATAAAAGTGCTAGATTAATATTTAGTGCTAGATTAATAATCTACTCCATAAAAGTGCTAGATTAATATTTAGTTTCTTTACTCTGAATTCAAAATCTTCGACCGCTTACAAAATAAAATTTTAACTCCTTAGCCCAAAAGACAAGACTTTAAAACCTTCCAATTTACTTCTCTAATCTCACCTCTTTCTATTTCTGTACAGGCAAATGTCTCCACTCTTCATCCTTTCCACTCTGCTCTTTGTCCTGCTTTAGACTCTGAACTAATGCTGTTCCCCTAACCTGTAATAGAAATTTCTCCCTCTTAACTTCTACACATCATTTAAAGCCAAACACATGTCTAAATTCCTCCAAACTTCTCTACCCAAGAAAACATTGTGCTATTCACTTGGCATTTATTATTAGCCACTTTTTATTCAGTATTATTTCATATGTCCTCCTGTCTTTCTGATTAAATAAAAGTCCTGAAAAGCAGATACTGTTTTTTACCTCATTATAGTCTCGGCATCTGGCACAATGCCTTGCACAAATCAGATATTTTTATTAAGTACTATATGGATATTTCTAATTATTTCACAATATTTTGCATAACTTTTGTTACATTATACATAAGCTCATATCTCTTGTATTACTATAAAATTACAAAATGTAGACATTAGAATAGGGCATCACACTTGTTTTTCTAGTACGTCTTAATACATGTGTTAACTGAAATATTCCTTCTATAAATTTTTATTCCATAAAGATTTCTCTTTTGACTTACAGAGAGCAATTAAGGCAAAAGAAGCAAACCTTTAGAAACTTTATTTCTCTCGTTGCAATTTTGTTGACAGATTTTTCTGGTTTCTCATAAAATATTTTAATGGCCACTATCTGCCCAGTATCCTTATGTTTACACTTCATAACTGTTCCGTAACTTCCTTCTCCCACTTTTCCAAGGGTTTCATACATCTCCATTCTTAAGGCCGGCTGCTTCTTCATGGAAATAAAGAAGGAAAATGTTAAACACATATATTTTATTTATTCAAGCTACAAATGCATTTCCACAATAAACTGATATATTAAAATACAAAACAGAAAAAACAGAAATCTTTTCTACAGACCCCCGTTTGTCTTTGGAAACGCTGCCAGCTCGGCAGTAAGGTGGCCTTGTGGGGCTCCAGCCCTCACCAAAACTTCGGGAGCCTACTGCTGTCTCGGTTATTCCCATCAAAACTATGGTTTAAGATTTCTTCACTACATGTCACCTATCCATCATGCGGGGCGAGGGGTAAGGAGTCCTCACACTTGTCATGTCCCAGTCAAATATGAGATTCTCGCAAAACTCTCTGCAGTCGCCCACAAATCAGGCCCTGGGACCCAAGGAAACCTCAGTCCCGCCCACTCCTCAAACCAGACCTCTTGGGGTCCCGGACCAGGGTCGCGCCCCTCTCCCCCCAGACGACCTCAGCCGGGTAGCCGCCGCCACCTCAGCCCATTCTGTAGTCACGCCGGCTTGGCTCCGCTGAGTCCCAGCCCGGCAATGGGACGCGGACCCTACTTAGCTCGCGGGCCCGGCTAGCTCCGGCGGCGCATTTCCATGGCAACGGTGCCACTAGCCGCGCGCTCGAGGCGTAATGCGCAAGACCGGATCTTCGGCTGCGCTCGCATGACCCGGAAGGGGAAATGAGAAGAGACAAAAACGAGTTCCTGGTGGGTGCTAAGTGGGCGTTCTGTTAAGGATGGGGAGTGTGGCTTGTGGAGGATCGAATTGAAGCTTCCGCGCTATGTCGGTTTTGAACCGAGTTGGGGGCGGGTCAGCATTTTGACTGCAGTGTGAGTGACTACACATCTCCTAGGAAAGGGGAGCCGAGTCGTAGGCTTATCTCACCTGCATCCCATATGCCTCCAGGCCAGAGAACACCTGCCGCCTATGCTGGGTCTTAAAAGGGTGGCTGGCGTCATTAAATACAGACATCTTGTGAAAGGAGACTTCCACGCAAGTCTAGTGTAATTGTAGTTTTCTAAGTTACCCAGTTACGTTAATATTCTGTAGACGTGAGTTCGACCTCAGCTATCGACATTCATCCTTTAAAAGGGAATAAGACGGTTCTTAAATAAAGACCATTTCTTGAACACCTGAAGTGTGCTTTTAAATTTTTTCTTCTAGTAATTTTTTAAAAACTCCCTTTCTACATGTCGAAACTCTAAAACTCCCTCTTTGGGAAAGCAAATGATTCAAAGGGTTCTACCACACACACATTGACATACAAGGGCACAGGAGGAAAAGAAGGCTGTTATCTAATTGCTAAATAACCAAACATGGGGTTGTTGGCATGGCAGCCTTCAAAAAATAACAAGGTTAGTACTGGAGCAAGTGCCCAGGGACTTCGCAGGGCTTTCATTTCTTTTTTTCTGTAAAAAGAGTTAACTATTAAAAAGCCAAATCTCGTTATGCTTTCCCTAAATTAGCATCATTATTATCCAATGAATTCTAGTCTAGTTGGTCCCACTCCACCATGCACGTTAAAAATCACACCTATCCACACTGGTCCAAGCAGGTCTGAGGTTTTCTTGGATCCCAGGACCTGATCACTGCAGGAACTTCATATTTGACTGGGGGGAGGGGGGGGTAAGGGGCCATGACAGATGATGACTAGATGAGCTTTTAGTAAGGTCTCACCACCCCCAGAGATCCTAATTTAAATGAAATAGAGTAAAGAAAGTGGTGTTTTAAAAGCTTCCCAAATGTTTCTGTGCTGCTAAGATTTATATTGAGAGAGCAGTGAGAGAGGAAGTAAAGGTGGTCACGGTTTTTGTTTATCAACGGTTTTTGTTTATCAATGCCGAGATGGAACATCACTTGTAAAATTCTTAATCTTTTAGCAGGAAATGAAATGGGACCTCTTTCAGAGTTAATATTTTTAGTAAACCTAGTTAAGTTTTCTTCCCTCCTTTCTTTGGAAAAAAGACCCTCTCCTTCAAAGCCTGATAATTGCCCTGGCAACTCAGATCCTCTGGCTATTGATAAGGGTCATCAGCCCATTCTTAGCAGAAATGGTGTTAAGTCAGACAGGGCCTTTAGAGTCCTAGAGAGGAGGAGACTTTAGGCCAAAAGTCTTTTTTTTTTTAATTCTTTAAGAGGGGACTTTAGGCCAAAGGTTTTTTTATTCTTTAAGAACCAAGCCTGATTTCTTTAATGGATATGCGATTTAAATAACCAGTTCATATCTTTTCCTTGTCTAGGGACTGAGGCTGCACCTCAGCAAGAAACCTAAGACCCCACCCTGACTGAAGCAGAAAGAGAAAGAGCTCCATGAAACCCCTGTAGGCAGGGACTATGGCCATTCTCAGTAGAAATCAGATACAGAAGAGACCTCCTGTCTCTCAACATCCATACTAATAATAAGGGGGTTCATGACTCTTAGAAAAGAGTAAGGCAGGAAGGAAAATTAGGGGGTTTCGGGTCTGCTTGCAAAGACACTGAGGTCACCCTATCCTAGAAGGGGCCCACCCTAATCCACCCACAATTAAGGAAGCCAGAAGGCATTTTTTAACTCACACAAAGAAACCAGTAGGCAGAGAATTAGATACCAGTTTAAGCCAGTCACTCGCACCTGCACAACGAAGACCCCCAATGACCTTCAACTCACCTGAGCCTCATTATACAATCGTTATAATATGAGGCATATGCCCAGACATTCATTAATATCATTATAACAGACTGAATTCTGGGAACAAACATTCACAGAATGCAAAATGATGAATCACTGAGTCCCGCCAATCTTAGTTGTCAATCAAGGAAGCCCACTCCTCTAAGAAAAGTAACCACCCACAGCAAAAAGGGTTAAATACCCCAAAGGCTTTGTTACCAGACCTGAGCTACGCTTCTCTTGTTCAGGCTCGCCTTCACGCCTGGGAAGTGTACTTTCCCTTCTAATAAAACTTTTCTTTTCTACCGTATTTCAGTGTCTTGCTCAATTCTTTGTTCGAGTCATCAAGAACCTGGACAACGCGCTGGGAGAGGATCCCCACTCTCCGGTAACATCATCATTCAGAATTGTCATTCCTTTTAAAAAGTTATTCAACCATGTTATAAAATTTCTACGAATAAGAATGTCATAGTATATCTTATAGTGGGCTCTGACTTGCCGTAAGCATATTAAACATTTGTTGTGGGCTAAGTATTGGCAAGGGAAAAATCATGAGAGTCCTCTCAGTGAACTCACAATCTAGAGCTACAAAATCACTACATATAAAATTATAGCTTTAAAACTATTATGTTAAAAGAGAAAAAATCACAGGTTGCTAAAGCCCCTATCAAACAGACTTAATACCTTATCTGGAATTTTCTGGTCGACACCAAAGAAGTACTCTATCACATGGGCCCTCTCCACCCATTCTGTAAGAAAGAAGAGGCAATCTGCATGATAAAAACCATTCCCATTCTCTCCCCTCCCTGAAAGATGTCCCTGCCCCCCAAATGAAATTTCTTTAAATAGTTCCCTCTCCTCACTTCTTCCTATAAAAACTTTCCATTTTGTAAAACCCCTCAGAGGGCCCTTCGGGTAGCTGGATTGGATGCATTGCAATTCATGAATTGCTTAATAAAGCCAATTAGATCTTCGAATTTACTGTTGAATTTTTTTTAATACAAGGGGGAAGCAGGCCTGGTAACCAGGACAACCAATGATTCTTGCTTAAACACTGCTATAAGACTTCAATGAAAAACCTTCATTGATTTTTGTCAAAATTGTTACTTCATTTCAGAAAACCATAAACTGGGTTTCCAAAACAATTATAAATTGCTAGATAAATGATATAACAAATTTTTTTTAAAAGTTTCTCTTTAGCATTTCACTGAATGTTAACCCTACCAGTGTGTCTTCATCCTTAGCTATGGGGAGGATTAGGATTGCTTTGGCAGGAAGGCAAAACAGTAAATATAAGAATATTCAGCTTTTGACTTAAGGAATCATATTGTGAATGCACAGTAGGACCTACCAAGAGTTAGGGCTGGCTAACTTGATCATGAAGGAAATTACTAAAAGCAAGACAGAATTCAGGGTTTGAAGAAAAAGAGGTACCAGGAAAGGGGGGAAAGTTAACCCTTTCTTGTTCCGGGTCCTCATTCTATCCTCCCATTCCACCCTGAGCTGAAGACTTACCCAAATGAACACGAAAGTCTTCGAAGTCCTCTACAAGGATCAACACCTTTGAACTTGCCCCCCGCCCATCCCCCCACCCCGGGGGTGTGGCGGGGAACGGGGGTTGGGAGAGGAGCCGGGAGGAGGCATTTCTGCTTCATTTGAACCTTGTTGGTTTTAAAAAACCTGAAATAAATGAGTTATCCAGCTAGATTTATAACCACCACCCTGGGTCTACATAACCTCTCCTCCAAATCTGAATCACATTTTTAGGTTTCTTTGACAACCAACCTCCCATCGATAGGCTCTCTGGAGACCTCATCCCCACATTTCTTCGATAAATAACAATGGTACCCTAGCATACCCAAATCCGTGGACTCTGACATAAAACCTCAGATGAGAGCAGACCCACAACGGAAGAACAAAATTCGTTAATTCCGTAGGGAGTATGAACAAACCTTGGACAATGTACAGTTCTTTTATCTTTGCAGACTTTCCAACCCTGAAAACCCCACTACAATGCACATACATACAGGCTATTAGGTGGCCGTACGGAATCATTTCAGGGGATTTCACTTTGTGTGGGCCTGAGCATTCAATGCCGCACTTATAATGGAGGTCCCATTAACTCTTTCTTCCTCATGTACCAGATTTGATAAACCATTGAATCGACCAGAAGAAACCTTAAATCCAAAATATTTTCGGCTCCGTTTAAAAGACGTAAGAAGCAAAACGAGCTTTGCTTCCGCCACCTCTTCGATTGGTCTCCCACTTAATGAGACAAAGTGGATGGAAAACAAAGGTGTAAGCCCGCCCTAAGCCGGGTCAATTTAACTACCCACGTCTAAGACCAGGCTGAAACTCAGATTCAGGCGACGCTCTCACGTGATCCATTCTAATCGCGTCACAGGGACACGTGGTTCTAGATACTTCTCCTCCTCCCCCTCCGGGGTGGATTGTTGACAACCCCGCCAGCAGTCACGTGACCTTACGTCATCCCACCTCCTTTCCCTGAAATCTCTGGTCTCGCTTGCGTCCCTCTTTCCCCACCCGGTTGGGCCTAAACTACTAAAAGGGAGAGGGACGGTGATGTTTCGGTTTCGAAATCTCTAAATCCACAATCTATAGTCTGAACACAGAGAAGACAAATTTTTTTATTATGTCAGGAAGTCACAATGGATGGAGCCTTGCCGAAAGGCTCCAATCTGAGATCTCATACAGCCTGGCCCCTTCTCCTCCACCCCTCACTCTGTGGTACTGGCGGAGGGCGGAGGGATCTGGAGGCGGCGGAGGGAGACGTCATTGCAGGGTTGTTTGTGCAGCCTCGGCGGCGGCGGTGACCCGCAGTGATTCGGCCGCGGAGCCGGGGGGTGGGGGGGCTGCGCGGGACTCTTTTCTTTCAGACTGACCGCGGGGCAGCTGGGGAGCATGTCGACCCCGGCCCGGAGGCGGCTCATGCGGGATTTCAAGCGGTAAGCCTTCACCTTCGCCTGGATGACGAATTTTCTCCACAGCTACAGGCCTGTAGGGCGGGGATCCAGGACACCTTCCTCTTACGATCGTAGGAGGGCCGACTGTGGGCCCCGCGGGACGCACGGAAGGCCAGTTTAAGTCCCCGATCGCGCTCCCTCATCCTTGCTTGCTCACTCTTCTGACGTAAGAAATTTCGATAACGCCTCCCCCCAAAAAAGTGAAAAGATGGCTGTGGGCTTGTTCAGGCCAGCTGCCCGACGTCTCGCTGTAGCGTTCAAACCTCACCGCTCCCCCCCCCACCACCAACCCCGTCCCCGCACCCTGCGGTGTCCCCTCCCTGGCTTCGAAAAAGCGAGCCGTAGCAGAAACTATTTCCCCGCTTGCTGCACCAATCAGCTTTGTTCGATGGTCCTGCGGTCTCCTCAGAGGGACAGGGTTGGGGCGAAAGGCCCCCACCCCCACCCTAGTTCTTTCTGCAGTGAGGGTGGGGTCTGCAGCTCGCGGTCCGGAGGTGGTTAACCCATCTTCCGAAACCCGACTCTCCCTCGCTTGTCTGAAAGGACCTTGAGAACTGGCTTAGAGACCTGAGACTTGAGCTGGCAACCCTGGCTGCCAGTGCTTTCTGGAAGTCAGCTTCGTGGCCTTGTGTATAAAGCCCTATCTATAGCCACCAAAGTCTGGAAAAATGCCTTCCCTGAGACTGGCGCTAACCTGATACTCCCTGGGCCTCCTTTTGTAAAACAGGGTTTTGTTAGGTGTGGGGGTTAGTTAGGAGGAAGTGACTTTTTTCAGTTGTTAACCTTTGAATATTTGAAGGTACGAGAAAAAGTGACTGCGAAAACTTAGTATTGCCATTCTCTGCACATTTTTAAGTGTTTTTTTTCTGGGGATACCTGCCCTGATTGACACAAAATCTGCCTAGTATAAAAACTTACATCAGCCGCTCAGGAAGTAACCTCTTAACTTCGCCATTATG